ATCATGTGCTGTATGATAGTTTATCATGTGCTGTATGATAGTTTATCGTGTGATGTATGATAGTTTATCATGTGCTGTATGATAGTTTATCATGTGATGTATGATAGTTTATCCTTTTACCTAAAATCTGTTTGTGTTGTTCTGGCCAACCACCGGAACTCAGGGACACCAGAGAGGACTGAAACGGTGGCCCGTCTCTCATCGTTGGTGCTGATAATAGTGTCTTTAAAAGAGGTGAACCGTGCTGTGAAAACCTGACATGCTTACTTTCTGCTGCCAGCGCCAGTGCTGCACCGCTTCATGGTACCTGGTTCTGGTGAACGTGACCTGCAGACACAACACCGATGTAAGGCCTGAGAGGACGAGGAGATGCCGTGCAGTTTTTGTTCACCGTGCGCTCACCATGGTGTAGAGGGGAATGATGGTCTTCGGCATGAGGAAGTGCAGGGCGTTGTCCACGTGTTTCCTGAAGAGGAACCACTTGGAGTTGACGTGCGCTCGCATCTGGACAGGAAAACAACAGACGAGCTCGTGTATTTCATCAGATCACATGTTTCTGTTTTATAGCTCAAAGATCTGAAGCAGGTTTGAAGAGCCAAGACACAGGAAACATTAGACATTTCTGTGTGAGGCTCTTTAGAAAGGTACTAAACGTTAATATCTTACCTGTTGTGGATAGCTCCTTGACTGATGAGCTAACCGCTGGTCTGAAAGGGACTACTGTTTAAAACTACTCCAGCTCCCCTAAATTCACTGTTTCATGGACTTTAGACCTGTGTCGGTTCTGCAGCTCGGGGTTCTTCAGGCTCTGTGGTCATCAGGAGCAGCAGCGGTTGGCTGTAGCTCGACCCGTTTTAACAAGCTAACGGGTGATCCGAGGGCTTTCTGAGCTGCCACTCTAATTATGGCCTTTATCCGAGGGCTCAACTAGGCCCTACTCGGGTCGGCCCGGCACAGCTTCAGTCTTTCCACTGGGGACCTCACCAGCTTCCAGCTCGGTTCTTAGGTCCTACTCAGCAGAGGTTCTATGCAAACCGGGTCGAGCTGAAGATTGGATGTCAGCAGACTGCAGGGCGTCGTCAATCACGAGAGCGTCTCCTTCACAAGAATCAAACCCACCGTGTTTAAAACTCGCACCGGTCGTTTTATTAACTTTTAAAAAATATAATCTTTAAGATGGCGACCTGTGAACCAACACCATGGTGCTGGTGTCAGAAGGAGCTGGACCATGATGGACCATGATGGAGAATGGTGAGCAACGTGTTTACTGAAGGTTTGGGCTGGCGTGCCATGACGACCCGGCTACATCGAGGGAACACTCAGTAGAAAACTCTGAGACGCTGTAGAACCAAGTCGGGTCGAGTTAGAGCAAAGCGGGCTGTGCTGAGACTGGACGATGGAAACCAGCATCACTGACTCGTGCTCGAAGTTTCCACGGTCGTTCTGCTGAACGCTGCTTAACACAAGCGAGCCGTGTGGTCGCGTTCAGACGGAGCAGTTCTTGTAAATTTGGCTCTTCCACGTCCTCTCAGCCGTAGTTCTAGCCACCGTGGCAGCCGCCTCAGTATTTGTGATTTACAGACGCACTTTAGAAACGCTCATTTGGAGCAGTTTTTAATAATTGTTGTTTAGAGGCGCATGTTTTGAAGTCCTGAGCATTTAGGATGTGGTCACAGTCAGAGGAGACCTCCTGCAGGTCTGAAGACCGGGCGCTGCCAACGACTCTGAGGATGTTTCAAGACCAAATCGTTAATTTTCCGAACATCTTTAAAGTTCAAGATAAAACGTTGAGCTGCTGCGACTCCCGTCTGAGAACGACCCCAGACGTTTTGGAGGCTCTTTGGCGACGGCCTCCAACAGTCGCAGCTCAGACGGCTTCACCTGAAACAAATCCAGGCTTCACGCAGCTAAACGTGAGTTTTCACACCGTCGCACGGCCGTCACTTTAGTCTTTTATTTCCGCAGACATATTAGGATCTTCCTGAAGGAAATGCTACAGCTTGCTGCTGCCGTTATCTGCGCTCACAAACAACCACAGAATTCGTCACGGAGGTTTGAAAGACGGCGTGAAGGTCTTCAGCAACGTCTTGGCTGCGTTCGGACCAGCCGTTTGCTCCTCAGTCCGGTCAGGATCCAACTCGGTTTCTCCAAACTGACGTCGTCCAACGAGCTATCTACGACAGGTAAGATAGTTTCCATTTTCCATGAAAGCATGTTTTTAAATGTTTGGAATATGACTTTAATTCAGATTTTAACGTTGAGGCGGGCGCTGTGTCTTTAATGTTTTATAATTTTCTAAATATCTAACTTTGTTACAAACATTTTCCCACAGAAACACATTTTGATTTTTTCAGTTCCTCCTGAAACGTTGAGCTCGTTGAGACCTGCTTCAGCTCTTTTTGTACTCTAATGCTACGTTTAGCTACCATTCTGCTACTTTTTAGATTTTAGGTAAAAGTTTGCTGATTTCAGCTTTAGCTACTTTTAGTTACGGTTTTGTTAATTTTAGCTACTGCAACTTTCTTATTTTTAGCATTTATTTAGACAATTTTAGCTTTAGCATGTGTTTTGCTGATTTTAGCTGTTGTTTTGCAAACTTCAGCCTCTGTTCTGCTTGTTTTAACCCTAACCTGTCAGTTTCAGCTTCAGTTTCTCTGCAGCGTAAAGTTAAATAAAGATGTGAGAGAAATCTGAATTACTTCCACGTAGTTGTACATGGCCAGGTCCGCGATGGCGTGGTCGTCTGGAACCCGAACTCTCGAATACTCGGGCAGAACTGAACCTGCAGCAGCAAGAATTCAGCATGAATCAGGTCCGGTTATTGAAGTTATAATTTTAAAGTACTTACTGAAATCCTCTGCGAACTGATTCATGATTTCATCAAAGACGATGCAGTCCTCGAAGCCCTGCAGATCATGAATGGACCGGTGAGTTTCATCCGTTTTTTATTTTTATTATTCCATTGATTTTGTTCTTACAGCGTTCATCCCCTGCCCGTAAAACGGCACCACGGCGTGGGCTGCGTCCCCCATGAGGACACACCGGTCATCGATGTGATACGGGGAGCATTTCACGGACACCATGGCCTGAGCAGGAAGTCGGAAATAATCTCTCCTGAGGGCGTCGCTGCAAAGAAACCAAACATTTACAAACTGCTTCAGCTCGTCAGAGTTAATGCAGAACCATCTGGCACCCTGAGGTGCGCAGACGGTTTTGCTTTCAGAGGAACGAAGTCTGTTTGTGTCCGAGCGCAGAGGAAGGCCCGTCACCTCTGAGGATGGCGTGACGCTGAAACAAAAGCCCGAGGCGTTAAAGAGGGCACGCTGACAGAGAAGGTCACTCACGCTCCGATTAACGGGATGGCATCGGGGAAGTATTTCTGGAAAAACTCGATGACCTCATCTCCTGTGGTGACCTTCTCGAAGTCCTCAAAGGGCATGAAGAGCGTGCACGTGAACGTCTTGTCCTGTGAGATGGAAAATAAAGAGAGGACGATGAAGTTGGCTTCAGAACCCACTTCCTGTCAGTTTCATCACACACGGTCACAGCACGTGCACTTTTAGATGGACGCCGCTGCTAAGCAACATTATCCAACACAAAAACAGATAAAAAATCTGATCCTTTTACAGAAACTGAGCTCAAAGACGCTTCAAACTGGGAGTCACCCCCAGAAATGTGACGTCTCACAAGATCACGCAGGATTAAAAACTGCAACGGACAGGAAGACGTCCGTCCATCCGTCCATCCGTCCATCATCTTTACTCGCTTCTTCCTTTCCGGGTCACTGGGGTGACTCGTGACTGGGGTGCTCATGTCCAACTGTCACTGTACAAGAGGCGGGGGACATCTGGACAGGTCTCAGTCCATCACAGGGACACATAGAGACAGATGAGACAAACAACCATTCACTCTCTCACCTAGAGACAATTTAGAGTTACCAATCAGTCTGACGTGCATGTTTTTGGTCTGTGGGAGGAAACCCACACAGCACAGAGACAACATGCAAACTCCACCCAGAAAGGACCTCTGGCCAGGGTTTGATCCGGCGACTTCTCACTGAGAGGCGGCAGCTCTACCAACTGAGCCACCGTGCCACCCGACAGGAAAACAGGAGTTTCATAATAACAATAAAATACTTCATGTGAAGCAAAATGGAGCAGAGACTAAAAACAGGAACCAAGTTGTCTCATTTGATGTGAAAGGCTCTAACGTCACCAGGTTGGGCAGCGCGATCATCATGAAGGTGTTTCGTGGCCAGATGTGCAGGAAGTTGGGCTTCATGGCAAACTGGAGAAGACGACAGAAACAGGAAACAGTTAAAGTTGGATGTATTTAAAGAAGCTCCAGGAGAAGGCCTGATCCCTCCATGCTGACCTCTCCGTCCCTGGGCGGCATGGTGAGCTCCATGTAGCCGTGAGGGATGTAGGTCTGGCTGTAGTTGAAGCGGCTGCGACGGAGGAACTGTTTACGGACGGCCGAGAACGCTCCATCGCAGCCGACCATCAGGTCCACCTGAACCTGCGTCTTGGAGCCGTCGGACCTGAAAGAAGACGAGTTCTGTCAGTAAAACGAGTCGTCTGCATGCACGTGAACTTTACTCATCTGAGTGTTTGTTTGGGACGCAGGCACCGCCTGATCTGAACGTGCTCTACAGTAATCTGTGGACCTGGAGCTGCCTTGCACTGGGACTGAAGACATCCCAGAATACTCAGTGTTTCAAACTGTTATGGAATTAAACATAAATTTAACATTTTCAGGGTTGGCTGTCAACAAGGAGTTTAAATATAGTTGGTAAAAATGTTTTAGTATTGTCCTCATTAAATCTGCACGGTTTTATTGATCATGTCACCTGAAGGGACAAATGGGACAAGCAGGGACATACTGGACATGTAGGGACGCTCAGTGACTCATGAATCTGAACATCAGTAAAACAGATCCAACAGTTTCCTGAGTCCAGCGCCACGAGACAGAACCGTCAGGTTTATTAGAGACACACAGCTTCCTGGATTACATTAAGCCAGACTGCTGTGTGAGATTACAGGAGAGATGTGAGGATCTCCTGCAGGTGTTGTTTGGAGGGCAGAGCAGGAGGAGAAGCTGTTCTCATGGATCCATCAGACGAGCTGGAAAAGGCCAACGGGAGCGTCACGGAGAGGAGAGCTGCAGTCTGAACACGTGACGAAACAATTCGAGAGTGGCTCGGACCGCCGCGAGACTCACCGGCCGTAGTCCTTTAACGACTTTTAAAAAGTGACGTTTCTTTTATGGACAGAACTTCTCGGTGCAGCCAGAGGGTGGAGGGTTCAGTGGCCCCAGGATTCAGCTCTGCTTTTTGCAGATGATGTGGTCCTGTTGGCGTCATCGTGCCGTGATCTCCAGCTCTCACTGGAGCGAATCACAGCTGAGTGTGAAGCAGCTGAGATGAGAACCAGCACCTCCAGATCTGAGGCCGTGGTCCTCAGTCAGATTGTTCTCTTCAGGTCGAGGGTGAGGTTCTGCCTCAAGTGGAGGAGTTCAAGTATCTCTGGGTTTTGTTCATGAGTGAGGGAAGAATGGAGCATGAGATTGACAGATGGATTGGTGCAGTGTCTCCAGTATTGTGGACTCTGCTCCGGTCCGTTGTGGTGAAGAGGGAGCTGAGCTGTAAGACAAAGCTCTCTGTTTACTGGTCAGTCTACGTTCCTCCCCTCACCTCTGGACATGAACTCTGGTAGAGACTGAAAGAATGAGATCGTGGATCCAGGAGGTTGAAATGAGTTTCCTCTGCAGAGCTGGACTCTCCCTTAGAGACATGGGTGAGAAGTTCAGTTATCAGGAGAGACTCAGAGTAGAACCACTGCTCCTCCACATCCAGAGGAGACAGTTGAGGTGGTTCATCAGGTTAGGATGCTCCCTGGACACCTCCCTAGGGAGGTGCTTCAGACATGTCAGATTGGGAGGAGACCCCGGAGATGACCCAGGACACACTGGAGAGATTGTCCTGAGAACACCTTGGGGTCCTCCCAGAAGAGCTGGAAGAGGCTGTGGAGAGAGAGGTCTGGACCTCCCTGCTCAAGATGCTGCCCCAAGACCTGAGTCCAGAACAAGATGATGGATGGATGGATGGATGGATGGATGGATGGATGGATGGATGGATGGATGGATGATGGATGCTTCTTTTAGCTTTTAGCTTTAATAACTTAGTTTAGCGTTTCCAACAAACTGTAGGGAAGTTGTTCTCTCACAGAAAATGTTTTTGTCTCCAAGTTTTTACTTACTTTTCATCTCATTTTTAGTTTTTTGTCATTAGTTTTAGTTTTTTGTCATTAGTTTTAGTTTTTTGTCATTAGTTTTAGTTTTTTGTCATTAGTTTTAGTTTTTTGTCATTTGTTGTAGTTTTTCTGTAAGTGTTTGTCTTTCAGGTAAACGTGATGAACAATCTTAAGTGAAAGCTGAAACTCCTGCAGTTCTTCTTGGCTTCTTTGAATTAATTCATTCATGATGAGATCATTAGCTTTAAGCGTTTCCAGCTGATGATTCTGCTGTTACTGCTAAACGTCTAAAGTAGCAAATTACAAGCTAAAAGTAGGTAAAAGATAGCTAAAAGCTAAACATACCATGATGGTAGCTAAAAACAACAACATGTCAGCCAAAAGTAGCAATGGGCTAACCAAAAAAAACAGCTAAAGCTGAAGATAGCAAATGGCTAGTTTGAAGCCAAATGTAGCAAAACAATAGAAGCTGAAGGTAGTGAAATACAAGCTAAAAGCTCAAACTACTGAAACAATAACTAAAAGATTAAAGTAGCAGAACATTAGCTAAAGTCAATATCAGCAAACTGCTACTTAAAAATAGAAAAACAGGTAAAAATAGTGAAATACTATAAAAGCTAAAGGTACAAAACATTATCTAAAAACAGCAAAAGGTTAGCTAAATGCTGAATGTAGAAAAATTGTAGCTAAAAGCTAAAAATATCAGAACACTAACTAAATGCTTAAAGTAGCAAAACAGTAGCTAAAAGCTAACAGGAGCATAAGAAGGTAAAAACAGGCAGTAGTTGAAGCAGATTTTAAAGCGAACAAAGTTTCTGATGGAACTGAAGAAATATTAATGTTTTTCTATGAGGAAAAAAAATTGTAAATAAAGTCAAATAGTTTTAAATGTATAAAATCTACTCAAACCAAAAGTCACTGCAGCCACTTCCTGAATGAGCCGAACATTTTGGTGAAAAGTCACGCTCTGTTGCTTCAGACTCGTTTTATTTTCTATGGTTTCAGCTCCTGCACAGATTTTAATAAACTCAAATCTTTGGATGTTCGTCTAAACTTTGGTGTGGTAGTAGCTGAGAGTCATTCCCGACACATGTGTGAGTGTTGCGTCGAGTTTTTATTTTTACTTTCTGATTACAATAACTACAATTATCTTACTTTTAAACATGAGATGAACTCCGGCCTGCAAGACTGGGGCTGACAGGCCTTCATGAAACAAGTGTTAGGCCTTTAATTTACATAAAACTCCACGGTTATTAACGGTAGCTCGAACAGCAGCAGCTGGCTGTAGCTCCTCGGTGCAGCTTGGAGCCACTGCCAGCAGGAAAATCGTATTTGTTCAGATAAAACAAGACACTAATACGACGTACAAAACTGACAGCAGCACTGAGGTTAAATAATACCAGCCGAAGAACGGCTGTGAGATTCTGACAGCTGAAGCTGCTGAGAGACCACAGAGATCCCCTTTGGTTCAGCTGTTAGCTCAACAAATCCGACAGAACTACGCTCTATTAGGAGCTATCTACAACAGGTAAGACACTCATTGATTTTCACTTTTCCACAGAACTTCACGTTGAAACGTGAAAAATGTTCATTTACCGCCGCTCGTGTCTGAGTCCACACGTGTAGCATCGGCCACTGTTTACCTGGCAAAGGTCATCAGCCCCGTTTCAGCGCTCCAGTCCTGCAGTTTGTGGTCAAAGTTCAGCTTTGTGTTTGGATACTTCTCTGCCTCTGAGAGGAGAAAACGTTACAAAAACATCTGAGAGACACGGCAGCAGCCGACACAGAAACGTCTCGTTAAAGCACACGAGGAGGTTTATAACAGAGTGGCAGCAGAAACATGAAGGAGGAGCAGCATGAAGCTCCCGAGCAGCAGAAAGCAGCTGTCAGTGATGTGTTTGCTCTGACACTCGCTGAAACCTCTTCATCTGCAGGAGCCTGGATCGGTTCTGACATCAGGGACGGCACAGCCAGACGGTCTAATTATCAGAGCCGAGCTGGCGCACATCATCTACGAACATTCAGAGGCTCCTGGGTCAAATCTCACAGCCCTGAAGTGGCCTGGTGCACCGAGGCTCATGAAAACTGTAGAAGCTGAAGCTCAGCCTGAAGGACCGATGAAGAACAGAGCCTCCACGGGGCTCGTTCAGTCTGGGAGTGAATAAATACTGACAAGACTAACGTTACAGCCGATCAAGGTTCATGCTCAGAAATCCACAAAGTTCAGTCAGGTCCTCTGGACGGATTCTTCTTGGTAAAACGTTTCGTCTTTCATCCAAAGGACTTCTTCAGTCTGAGGAGCTGCAACAAACGCAGTCTTATAAATAGCACCTTCACATAGTGGGTCAACCAATCTGATGGTGTTCAGATGGTTTCTGGAGTCCGCCCTCTCCCCCGTCGACCCGTCTGAGGCAGTCATGGCCAAAGTGGTTCAAAAACTTTCCTCCAACTGAAGAAGTCTTTTGGATGAAAGACAAAACGTTTCAACAAAAAGAAACAGTCCAGAGGACCTGACGTAACTTTGTTGGGTTACAATTTAATATTTATGCAGAAGTTAAAAGGAGTTGATTTATAGCAAACACCATCATGGTCGTAAACTTCACCTCACTGGACTGCGACTAGTTGGCCCCAAGCTGTCCTGAGGTGGTCTCACTGAGTCTCTCACTTGTCCAACAATTAAACCGATCTCTTTCTCACAGATGAAACAGAGTGTTGTGTTCTTGAACCCGTCTGGGACTCGTCTCAGTCAGAAAGTTTGAGACAGCTTGTGGAGTGTTTGACGACCAGTGAAACTGAACTGTGGCTGATCGAAGACCAGAGAATAAAGGAGTTTTCACACAACAGGTCAACAGCACAAGGTCCGTAAAGACCGTCTCGGACCACTCGACAGTCCTCGTCCTGCAGAAACACGAGCTTTCAGGAACCAAAAGAGACGTGGAGCAGAACTCAGTGTGTCTCCCTCTGACAGTATTCAAACGATGGGGAATAGTTCAGTTTGAGGCCATTTTTGTGGATTTGAACCCTCCCAGGCCTCCAGCTATGACCTCACTACACCGAGGGCTTTGAGGAGGGAGAGTATTAGGTAAGGTGATGGGCCCAGGGTTCATGTCAGGGTCCAAGTCCAGTGTCAAAGGTCGAGGTTAGGGGTTTTTTGGTCAGGGTTAGCAGCAGTCAAACTTAAGGTCAGAGGGTTAGGGTCAGAGGTCTGGGTTAGGCTTGGCAGTCAGGATTAAGTTTGGGGTCAAAGTGTGGGTTAGGGTCAGGGTTTGGTTTAAGGTCAAAGATCAGAGGGTTAGGTTTAGGTACCGAGATGGTGTAGAGGCAGGGCAGCTGACTTGGGACCAGAAAGTCGCAGATGAACTCCCTGCCATGTCCACGTGTCGTGGTGTCTCTGAGCAAGACACCCAATCCCTAATTGCTTCCCCGGTGCTCAATAGCTGCCCACTGCTCCACCTGGGTGTATCTCAGGTGTGATGGGTTAAATGCAGAGAACCAATGTCGTCATTGTATGGAAACATACAGTGATGACAACACACAGCACTTATTTACTTACTAATACCTTTGCAGGAAAATTGTATAAATGTTGACATTTGGTTGCATGTATGTACATAACAAACAAGTCTTTAGTACTGATTCAGTGTGAATCCAAGTAAAAATTTATAAAAAAAAGTATGCGTCTCCAAGTAGACACCGATGGTCGCAGCACAGTGACAAACTGGCTAGGCTAAAATAAAAAGTTAAAATAAAATAAAGATTTTTCCATAAATATGACAGAGTCCATGAATGAGAGGGAGGAGGTGGAACAGTGAGGCTACAAGGAGCAGAGGTCACAAAGGTGCAGGACTTCAAGGACTTGGGGTCCACTGTCCAGGAACATGGGGAGTGTGGTGAAGAGGAGAAGAAGAGAGTCCAGGCAGGATGGAGTGATGGAGAAAAGGTTCAGGAGTGATTTGTGACAAAAGGGTGTCAGCAAAGGTCAAAGGAAAAGTTTACAAGACAGTGGTGAGACCAGCTGTGTTGTATGGTCTGGAGACAGAGACATGGACAAAAAGACAGGAGACAGAACTGGAAGTGTCAGAAATGAAGATGTTGAGGTTCTCCTTAGGAGAGACAAGGATGGAGAAGATCAGGAATGAGATCATCAGAGGTACAGCACAGGTTGAACAACTGGGACATAAAGTTAGAGAGGACACACTGAGATGGTGTGGACATGTCCAGAGGAGGGACAGTGGCTTGGACATGTCCAGAGGAGGGAGAGTGGTTTGGACATGTCCAGAGGAGGGACAGTGGTTTGGACATGTCC